TTAGGTCTAAGTGGGATAATTATTCCAATGAGATAATTTTATCCTTTTGGGATATTTTAAATAAGGCAGAGACCATAAAATGAGATATGTTGGGATAATGTGATAATTTGAAGATTTGATTTAACAATTCACGTGTGATAATTAATAAAATGACACATTAGTAAAATATAATATTTATTTATCAATTAAATCTAAATTATTTATCCAATTAGTTTACTATATTATTTAGTATGTTGTTATAATACAATTTATTATTATATAGTAAATATAATATATTATACGACAGCTACTAATTAATTATAACTATGTTTAACATTATTAGCTAATATAATATATTATATTATAATATTGTGCTATATTGTATAATTATTGATATAATATACGAAGAATATATTTAATATGATATTTCTTAACATAATATTTAATCTAATATATCAGAATGTAATATTATATATTATAATGTATTGTATAAAATATTATAATATTTTATTTTGTTTAGATATAATATTATAAAATATTATATTATAATTACAATTATAACAATTTTGACAAGCCCCCTCCGTCCATCCTTTGGGCTGACAAGAAATAGTAGTGATGCATCAAATGTTAGTAAGCTTCCTATTTCATGTATCTAAGTAGCAATAAGTTAATTGGAAATGGTAAATACAAAGCAACAGCATACGTTAATCCTTCTATTGACTAAAAAGGTTAAAATTAATGTCACATTATTAAATTAGTTGATACAAATTAGAAAATGTAGATAACTTTACAAACACTTGATATGCAATGAAAACAAAATAGTTTTGTGACAAACATTAAAATCAAAATGCTTTCTCTACCAACCAAAAGCCGGCTATTGATTTGAAAAATCTATTTCCTACAATAAAATCCATATATTCAAATGACAAAGTTAAGAATAACTTCTAATACAAAATGTTGCGTGCAACATTTTCCCTCCAAAGTTTGTTGTACGAGAGCCTTGACTGAGAGCATGTTTGATAAGTGATCAGTGTGGTTTATTGATCACTTTAATATGTTTGACGAATAGTTTATTTTTGCTTGTAAGTCACCGAAAAATAAGATAGGGATACCTTACCTTATTTTCCAGTGGCTTGTGAGCCACAAGAGATGACCAAGCAAAAATGCCAAAATACCTGTTATTATTTTAGAAAATTATAAGTTCACATTTATCTCTCTCCAACTCCATTAAATGTTTTGTAGACATCTTGATAATAATGATGACTTATAAACCATCCAATTGCCCAACATTCTATTATTAAAAATAAATTATAATCAGCTAAATTGACCAATCATTTTTTACTTATAAACCGTTTTGACTTATAATTTATTTATAGTTTATAAGACAAGCAGATTATAATCCAAAGTAGCTAGACATGCTCTCAAATTAAGTGAGTAACTTAACGCTCACCTGAGGCCCAACCCTAATTTCCATACCTCTCTCTAATCATTAAGCAATGATGACATAAAAAAAAGAGAGAAAGGTCGAGAAGATGTAATCATCTAGAAACTCCGCTCTCATTCTCACCATAAAAGAAAACTCTCAATCTTCATCATAACTTTAAAGTTTCGGTGTAATAGCATTACACCTAGAGAAACTTAATTTGAGATTATGTTGAAGCTAACTCATGTTCGCAAATTAAGATTTCCGTCCCTCTCTAATCATTAGGCAATGATGATGACATAAAAAAGAGAGAAGCGTCGAGAAGACGGAATCATCTAGAAACTCCGCCCTCACTCTCACCACTTTACAAAAACCCTCCTGATACCCTAACCTCCTCTCTGCTCCCTTATCCTCGAATAAAAACCTCTCCTTCTTCAAAATCTCTCTCTCTCTCTCGCATCCCATTTCTTTTCTCAAAATAAAAATCTCGTTTTTCCAAAGAAATGGCGGCCGCGCCAACGCAGTCTCCACCGCCTCCATCCTCTCCATCCCTCGCCAGGTCCCTCTATTCTCACCATCTCCCTCTCTAAACCCCTTTAAAAGGTTTCTTTTGTACAATGAACTCAGTAATTTTGTGTAATTTTGTATTTGAGCAGGGAGTTTTGAGGAAGAACCGAGGTCAGAGACCTGGCAGTGCTAGTTTCAGGAGAATGGCGGTTAGGGCATCGGCCAAAGATGTGGCTTTCGATCAGAGATCAAGGTCCGCTCTCCAGGCTGGCGCCGATAAGCTCGCCGATGCCGTCGGGGTCACTCTCGGACCCAGAGGTATATGAATATTTTGCGTAGTTTTATTTTATCTCAATTTGGGGGAAATGTGGTAGTTTGTGAAAGATCGAATGAATATTGATGGTTATAGTTCTATCGAAAAGGGTTCTCTCTGCTAAATGGGAGGCTTAGGAGGAATGTTGTGGATAAAAGTTGAAGTCTTTAGCAATATTGCTACTTTTTTTTTTGTAGAATTTTGTGTTACTTTGATGGTCAATGACATGCAAATGGCACTAAGAAGCAGTTCATAGGGAAGTTTATATCATTTTCGTGATTTCAGATGTCGAAGTAAAAATAGTTATACAGGATTGTTATGCATCTTGATGCACCTGTTATCGGAGTTTCCAGATGCTTTCTGCATCCTCTTTCACATCCTAACCAATAGTTTGGTTTTATGAATGTTTCATCTCCATGGTTGGATATTCTTTTTGGATGAAAAGATGCATTTGACTTTTAGTAGAGCAATTATCAGTACAATTTTTTTAAGGAATTGGTATGGCATGTTGTTTCATGGCTTATTAGTGGATGCTTATGTGGCGTTTATCAATTTGAAGGGAGGAATGTTGTCTTGGATGAGTATGGGAACCCCAAAGTGGTGAATGATGGGGTCACTATTGCTCGGGCCATTGAGCTTTCTGATCCTATGGAGAATGCTGGTGCAGCTTTGATAAGAGAGGTGAGTGGTCGCTCTGAACCATTTTCCTTTGCCATGCCCCTTAGTTTATTTGGGTTGAATATGCTACTTCTTCTTGGTGGCTTTTTTGGTGTTATACTTGGATTTCTGTTGGTGATGTTTTTTTATTTTTGTCAAAGGTTGCAAGTAAGACCAATGATTCTGCTGGTGATGGCACCACAACTGCATCTGTTCTTGCCCGAGAAATCATCCAACTGGGTTTGCTAAATGTTACTTCTGGTGCTAATCCTGTTAACATTAAAAAGGGCATTGACAAAACTGTTCAGGGGTTAGTAGAAGAGCTTGAAAAGAAAGCACGGCCTGTAAAGGGTCGTGGTGATATCAAAGGTGATATTTTGTTTCACCACTGATTCTGAAATTGTGATCATAGTTTGCAAGTTGCTTTGCGTTGAACTGTGTTTATTGCTGCAGACTGTGATCTTTTTCTCTTCTAAAAATAAAATAAAATAAAATAAAATAATACACACAACCCAAACACATTAAGAGTTTATTACAATATAATATACTAAAATTAAAATTAGTTTTGTTTCGCTCTTTCTGTAGCCATTGCTTCTATCTCAGCTGGTAATGATGAGTATGTGGGTGAGATGATTGCTGATGCTATTGATAAAGTCGGTCCTGATGGTGTTCTATCTATTGAATCTTCATCATCGTTCGAGACAACTGTTGATGTCGAGGAGGGAATGGAGGTTTGTCTCGTTTAAATCATTGATTTGCTGGCCCAAATTCTCCATAGTTCATGTCATGATAAGTCCTTTTTGAACTTTACTTGCAGATTGATCGAGGCTATATCTCCCCGCAATTTGTCAATAACCCTGAAAAGTTGATTGTGGAATTTGAGAATGCCAAGGTTTTAGTAACTGATCAGAAAATTTCTTCGATAAAGGAAATAATACCGTTGTTGGAGAAGACCACTCAATTACGAGTTCCGCTTCTAATCATTGCTGAGGATGTGACTGGTGAGGCATTGGCCACCCTCGTTGTCAACAAATTGAGAGGTATTCTTAATGTTGCTGCAATTAAAGCACCTGGTTTTGGTGAGAGACGGAAGGCTCTTCTTCAAGATATTGCTATTGTAACAGGTAAGTTTTTATTAGGGTGCTTTTACAAGCCCTTGATTGCTCTTCAAGTATCTTTGTTACCATGAAGTGTTGTCAACCTGCAATTTTCATTTAGTATAAGTCTTCTGTTAGCTTAGTTGTTCCTTTGAATTTCTTTCGTCTATGTTTCTGAAAATGTAGAACTTTTCTTTCCTCTGAACTGCTCCTTATTTACTTACTCTTGATTCTCGGTACTTTCGAATCTGCTCATTTGTATTCAAGATTCAATTTACTTTATGTTGATTTTTTTTTCTAGGTGTGCTTTCTATCTTGGACCTTTAATATAGATCAATCATGAGTGTTAGGATTGTGTCTTTGATTCTTTGTATAACTTTATGAGAATTAGATAGGATTAGAGATCTATCATGATTAGAAGATTGTGTCTCATCATGATTAGGAGTTTGAATCTCATTCTAGTTGGGAAGTTAGGCTAGAGATAGGGTTTTAGTTTTCCTATATATATTCTTCTATTGTTGGAGGAAAAACCAAGTAGAAGAGAGAGAATCAATATTCTTGTAATCTAGGGTTAGCAGAGGGCGTAGCCTAATTCAAGAATATTGTGTGAGAGACAAAGAGTTTCGTAGGCTTTGTCCGTGCAAAATATTACATCATTGGTTGAGGGTTTCACAGTTTTTGTACGTTCAAAAGATTGTAAGAAAAGAGCTTTGGAGAGAATATGAGAGTTGATTATGTATGTGAGGTTGAGAGATTGAGAGTCGAGAGTTGAGTGGTTTCTCTTGTAATTCTCCCTGATACATAGTGGATTTCTCGTATGGTTGCTCGTGGACGTAGGTCGAAGTTGATCGACTGAACCACGTAAATCTCAGTGTTCTTTTTTTTATTGTGGTTGTTTAATATCTTGTTGATTGTGGGTTGGTTTTCGAGTTGCGGAGATCATAGTATGCGGGGAGACTACAATCCCCAACAAGTAGTATCAGAACGACGATGATGGATTCGGGAGCGTGTTTACAAGATATGTGTTGTACAAAAGTGAAGATCGAAGGCATTACAAGAATCAAGATGAAAAAAAGAAGAAAAAAGAGAAGGGACAGTGATTGCTGGCGGGAGGATCTACGGTAGCTGATCGGCCGAAAGAGAGTGTTGGAGGGATGCAATGTCTGACGGTAAAGTATGCAAGCGACTGTAGCTGTGAGTCGCGGTGTCGAGGACGTTCTACTAGTCATTGACAGAGGGCTTGCACCGGCAAAGGACTTATGTGGAGACGGTTTGGCAGCGAGAGGAGCAGGCAACAACAAGTTGGCGGAGTTGTTTGAAAGAATTCTCGAGAGGGCTTCGATTGTCTCTGTTTGAGAAAAACACTTGAGGAGAAGCCATGTCACCAAAACTCATGTGTGGCAAGGAAAGAAGTAGTAAAAGAGAAAGAAAGTGCACGGGGCACGTGAGGTGACTATGGACGTGGATGAGTACTGCAAACATGCGTGAGAAGGAACCTTTTATTTGAAAGAAATCATGTGGGCAGTTGTGGTGTTTGGTGTTCAGGATGAGATCGAACGGTCTAGAATGATTAGTGAGTAGATGGCTAAATCGATGGCGGATTTTGGCGATCTAGCAGTCGATTCCTAGGTTTTGGAGTGTTTTGAACACGATGGGAGGGTTTAATTTTTCAGATTTTCCTCAGATTGGTCAGAAAGTGCTGATAAGTGTTGATGGTGGTAACGAGATAGATCTGATAGCAGATAGGCAAACGAGTATGCGACGGATGAGACTGGTGTAGAGAATCAAATATGATTCTAGCTGTAGAGTTGTCAGCATATAATTATTCAGAGTCATCGCGGGAGCAGGAGTTGTTTGTGTGTAGACTTGAGAAAGATAATGCCAGATTAGGTGGAGCTTGCAAGCAAACACGACAGAGTGACACACATACTGATGGAGATGGTGACATTGGACTTGAAGACAATGAGCGTTCATATTTGGTTCAAGCCAAGTGATAGAGAAAATAGAAGCATTCGCCTCGTAGTGTGTAGTAGAAGAGGTACAATCATATGATTCGAGACGAGCGATGCAGGTGGAGTACGAGGACAGCAAGTGGAAAAAGGCTACTGTCAAGTTCAGTTTGGGAGGAGAAGCATGATTGAATTGCTTCTAATGTTAGAGGTGGCGAAGATCTCTTGGTGTACATAAGAGAGGTGGAGGCGCCACGGCGAAGCAGATGATAGCGAGGGTCACGAGACGTCCCAGTTGGAGTGTAGATGCTTCGATTTGAAGTGTAAAAGATAAAATACGCTAGCAGGAGAGGCAAAGTTTCAAGATAAGGATGATAATTCAGGGAGTTTAGGAATCAAATTCAAGGTAGATATTGGTGGGATTGTGTATTTGATTCTTTGTATAACTTCATGAGAATTAGATAGGGTCAGAGACCTATTATGATTAGGAGATTGGGTCTCATCATGATTAGGAGTTTGAATCCCATTCTAATTAAGAAGTTAGGCTAGAGATAAGGTTCTGATTTTTCTATATATATTCTTCTATTGTTGGAGGAAAAACCAAGCAGAAGAGAGTCAATATTCTTGTAATCAAGGGTTAGCAGAGGGCGTAGCCTGATTGAAGAATATTGTGCGAGAGGCGAGGGTTTCGTAGTCTTTATCCGTGTAAAAGATTATATCATTGGTTGAGGGTTTCACAGTCTTTGTCCGTTTAAAAGATTGTAAGAAAAGAGCTTTGAAGAGAATATGAGAGTTGATTATGTATGTGAGGTTGAGAGATTGAGAGATGAGAGTTGAGTGGTTCCTCTTGTAATCCTCCCTGATACATAGTCGATTTCTCGTATTGTTGCCCGTGGACGTAGGTCGAAGTTAATCGATCGAACCACATAGATCTTGGTATTCTTTCTTCTTCATTGTTGTTGTTTAATATCTTGTTGATTGTGGGTTGGCTTCCGAGTTGCGGAGATCGTAGTAGGCGGGGAGACTACAATCCCCAACAAGTATGAGCATAAAGTAATTGATCGTAGAGAGTTCTTTCTTGATTATAATAATTGTCTGTTGAAGGAATTGCACTACTTTGAAGTGGAGATAAATTTTTAGACCCTTTTAGTCTGTGTAAATTGATTCCAGTATTTGCTAACATATTCTACTTTGGCGATGGAGTCAAATAAAAAGGTGGAATTGCTTGAACTTGGGTTTGTTTATAGTGGACTTGGACGCAATGTTTCGACACCTGAATCAATGGACTTGATTTCCCTCTGTCTTTAAGACAGTATATGCCCCAATATCTGCGAGGGTGCCCCCAAGATAATTCAGGTCGATCACTGGTTGTCAGCTAAAAGATCATTCCGAAGCTTCCATCGACATGGAGATACTAGAAGATAGATTTACAAGAGATTGTCTCTTTTGGAGATAGAAATCAAAGAGTGCTTTCTTTCTTTTTCTCCTTTCTTTTTCCCCCCCCCCCCCCCACACCCCCCCCCAAAAGTAATTGCCTAGATTTTCCCCTTTCTGGCCTGTCAAACTGCAGTTTTTGTGCAGTTTTGCAGTTTTTCAAACTGCAGAATGCGGTTTCTTCAACTGCAGAAATGCAGTTTTCTACTGCAGTTTTCTGCTGCAGTTTTGCAGAATTCAAAACTGAAACTATGCATATTATTTTGTTCAAATAATATTGAAAATTCCAACATGAATTACCATTGTAATTTTTTTATTAGGATAACTTAGGAGAGTGTGAAAGGCAGCAACAAATGACTTAATTCATCGTTGGAAATATTGTAGAAAAATGGATATCCAGATATATACCCTGTTCATCTAAGTTAATTTAGTTGCCTTTCTGATATAATGGCTAATCATCATTGATATGATCGTATCCTATAGTATCTTCAATACTATTGTAACTTCATATTATGGTAGTATCTCCGTATCTAATAGTGTTTTATCTATATCCATATCTGATAGATGATACAGGATATGGATATGTATATGCACATACCAATCTGTTTTCATCCTGAGGACGGTGTTATTCCTAAATGAACATAGATTGATGAGGCTAAAAAGGTATGGTTGTAGTCAAGTTAACATAGGAAATGACCATTGCAAACCCACTACTGCTGCTGCAACATGTAAATTTCTTCAATCTTCACTTGAGCATCGGTAACTTTTTGAACCGTGGTTGGAAAATATAATTTTCCCTATAATGTCATTACTTGTGAAATCTGATTATTATACTTTTTATTTTAAAATGCACTGGTGATGCAAGTGTTCAATTGGATCAGAAGTTTCAAATGAAAGCTGTTCATTAGCAAATTATTTTTCTGGTCAAAATCATGACTGATTAATTTATCTCCTTTTTCTTTTGTAGGAGCTGAGTTCCAAGCCAAAGATCTAGGTTTGCTGATAGAGAACACACAAGTGGAGCAGCTTGGCACAGCAAGAAAAATCACAATCTCTCAGAGCTCCACGACCATCATTGCAGATGCAGCAACCAAAGACGAGATTCAGTCCAGAATCGCGCAAATAAAGAAAGAGCTTGCAGAGACTGATTCTGTTTATGATACTGAGAAGCTTGCAGAGAGAATTGCTAAGCTATCTGGTGGTGTTGCAGTCATTAAGGTTGGTGCTGCTACGGAGACAGAGCTTGAAGACCGCAAGCTCCGGATAGAGGATGCTAAAAATGCCACTTTTGCTGCTATAGAGGAAGGCATTGTACCTGGTGGAGGTGCTGCTTATGTACACCTCTCTACTTGTGTTCCTGCTATAAAGGATAAGTTAGTAGATGCTGATGAGCGTCTTGGTGCTGACATTATTCAAAAGGTTAGCAAGAAATAATTTCTACTTACTTGCTCATACAGAAGCCACAGGTTAGGTCAAAGTTCCTTTTTTTATGCGAATACTTACATCCCGGTACCTTGTGATATGATGTAATTACACAGACAATTCTGAGGTATGTGTATCTACATGGATAACCTTGAGATTACTGCTGAGATTATATGGCTATTGAAAGAAATATTAGTGTTGCTCAGTGTTACCCGTGCAAATTCGGTTAGTAATATCAGGTTATCCGTGTAGATACATAAACCCCAGGTCACCTGTGTAATTATACTAAACCACAAGTTACTGGGATAAATAATCCTTTTATATATTATGCCTGCTATATTTAATAACTGATTTAATGTCGCAAGCTGAAGCAGGTTGCTTAGACTACGAATTAGTATTTGGTTGAATCTAGTAAAATTTGTTGTGAAGGTTATTCATTTTTTCGTTGATATTTCGGTCTGCCTTAATTTCAACATGTTGCAACTTGCAATGCAACTATTTGTACCGCGTTGAAAATTGTGTAACTAGCTGAGGTTTGAATCCTCATCTTTGTAGTAGTCACCTGTCAATGTGGACAAGTATCAGTGCAAGCTTGTTACATTGAAATATAAGCAGCATAGAGTAGGATTATTGATAATGACTGGGAACATGTTGGTATATGCCAAAAGCAACTGGATAGGGTTCGATGTATTTTTGTTTTCGGAAACCAGAGATTTTGTTTGAACTGCTTCGTTTCCATTATATTACGAACAGAAACAAGAACGACAGGGCCTTCTCCTTGAAAAGTTTGGGGTTGGTTACATCTACCCTTGGGCTACATTCAGCTCTTTATTTAAAGATCGTTGGTTAAAATAGCAACCATCATTTTTAATTGCTTAAATTCGTTCTATATGTGGTCTGTCCGGAGTCCTCATTTCTCTGTCAACTTCGATGATATTCATACGTGGCTACGTGCATTTCCCCTCTTCCTTTTAGCACATGCAAGTATCTCTCCTGTGGTCCTCCCTTATTCATTGTTAGTTGAGCTCTTTGAATTTCCTGTTGGTGGGTTCATTTCTTATTCATCTTTGCTTCATGGTACAACCCCTTTGTAAACTATTGAGGTGTACAATGAAGATCTTTGTCTTGTCAGGTCTGTATTTTATAGTATGGTGTTATTTGCAGGATAGACCACTGTGTAGTATCTCTGTATTAAACTTATCACCCCTCTAGTTTTATAGCTGTAGATAGACCCTTGAGTAACACTCTTTTCATCCTCAGGAGAAAGAATAAACACAACAAAACATGCACACCAGGGTATAAGGGTCAAAAAAATCTCACTGAAGGGAATCAATCTGCAAGAATAAAACTGAAGGGATAGTAAGTTCAACATGACTATATTATAGGGGACAACCCTATGTTATAGGAAACAATTATTCAGTGAGACAAGAGGACGCACTCACCTTGTTACTTTTCTTTTTTTTTTAATGTGGTTCTTTAAAAGTTCATACATTAATCTTTTTTTTTTTGGACTTGACAGGCACTAGTGGCACCTGCATCTCTGATAGCTCGCAATGCTGGAGTCGAAGGAGAAGTGGTAGTCGAGAAAATAAAGGACAGCGAGTGGGAAGTTGGATACAATGCAATGAACGACAAGTATGAGAATCTCGTTGAAGCTGGTGTAATCGATCCGGCCAAAGTGACGAGATGTGCGCTTCAGAATGCTGCGTCTGTCGCTGGGATGGTTCTTACTACCCAGGCCATAGTTGTGGAGAAGCCCAAACCTAAGGCTCGTCCTGTGGCTGAACCTGCACCAGGCCAACTTGCTATTTAAGTCTTGGGGTCATTTTGAGGTGAGATAATTAAAGGCGGCTACCTTGCATATTCTTGTTTAGAGGTAGAGTTATAATATTTCTGCGGTTAATTTCCTTGGAATTCACTAATTTGAATGTAATCATCTATGAGAACTGGGTACTATAATTGGTTCTTTCTAATATCTGCAGCAAAAAATTTTGATTCTAGTATGTGATTCCGAGTGAGATTGATGTGCTTCTGTTTGAGTTGTACCGATTTTCTGATCGTGGTTGTGCACTGTGTGCTGGAATAGTTACGTGGTCACTTTATTGCAAATTTATCTCCCTAACTGTTTATTAATAGGTGCTTATTGTGAACTGAAACTCAATTGTCTGAAAGAAAACTATTAAGAGAGTGTTTCGAAAAAATGCATTGTCTTATAATCGTTTGTTTGGCTGGAAGTTCAGTTGTAAATTGATGTCTAATTACTAGGGGCTTATTTAGTCTAGATACCAGTTCGGATATGATACTTATCATATCTTTATCCATTTACTCATGTTGGGTTTGGATATACCTTGGTAAAAAAAATTATATCCGTATTCGCTAAAATCGGATACAGATACGGATATACATGCGGATATATAAAGGGATATACATGCGAATACAAAAGGACATGAGAAAACTAGATAATACTTAAAAATAATAGGGTTCATCTGTTCATGTCACCAAAAGAATTTATTAATATGTTCATTGTATCTCAAAAGCTAAGATTAGACATTTCGATCATCAAAATTAATCTCAAATCCATAATCTAAGGATTAGAACTATTATAATAGTATGACTAATATGTTTTTAGATATTTCAAATACGGATCCAAACATTTCACTATAAAACCATATCCGTAACCATATCCTATCGGTTATTTTGAGTAACCATATTTGTATCCTAACAGACACAGTTACAGATATTTCCTCGAATACGGATACAGTTTATAGATTATTTGATATGGTTGGGAACCAAGGAAAAGTGCCCGGTATAAATGCTGCCTTCAAGCTATATATTTTGCTAACTCCACTCGCAAACAATGTCTTAAAAGAAATTTTAAGGAAAGACTTTTGGTTATTGAGTCGGTTATTCAAATCGCGTGTGAAGTATTCGGTTTCTCTCAGAGAAGGTTCAATTACTTTTGTTCTTCTCTTCTCTTCCTATTTTAAGGGATCAGATTAGGCCATAAAAATTTTCGATTATCATGATAACGGTCTTTAAGACAGCAGTGATTGTCGTGATTTTCATGATAATAATAAAAATCTTGCGTGGTGTAATCTTATCTCTTGAAATTGTGTTGTTATGCTGGAGAAGAATAACTACCCTGATTCAATAGATTCTATCTGCACCATTTACGCATTTTGAAAAATAATAAGCAAAATGGACTTTTTGTTAAAAAAAAAAAAAGCAAAATCGGCCTCTTTTGTAAAAAGAGGTTGACTTTGCAAAATATATGTAAGTTTTAAAATACACGGGACTAGTAGTTCCGTATATTCAGTTTTTATTAATTAACTCTTAAGGATTTCAGCACAAAGTTATTTTAGATTAATCGTAATTAAGGACCACTAATTACTCAGGACTATTAATACCATGTATTTTAAAGTCAAATATTTTACAAAATCGACTTGGCCAAAAAGATGTCCATTTTGCTAAATTTTTCATAAAATGGTTGGTTTTACTTATTATTTTTCAAAATGGGTCTTTTTTTAAAAAAATCTCATTATTACCCCCTTAAATATTTTACTGGAAATTAAAACCCCTAAAGTCACATGGTGAGAACGGTAAAATTGCAAATAACATCCCTCCTCGGATCCAAAATAGTTAAACGGGTGAGACTAGTGAAGATACAGATGAGAGGGGGCTGTCTGCAATTGCAAGTAACACCCTCTACTTCGCAACTTGTAAATTGTCATCGGTCAATATAAAGTCCATGAATTACCAAATTACCCCGCAAATTATTTATGCCTCTATCTATTTAACCGCCAAACCCCTTCCCTAATCTCCTTCTCCATCCTATGTACATCCCCTAACACCAAACAATCCATCCACCAAACAACTTATCGCCACGTGTAAGGCAGTCCCTCTTAGGACTGTTTGGATCTATTTTTTTGATCGGTAAAAGGGAAGAAAACTGTCAAAATATCAGCTTTTTGATAGCTTTCCCCCAAAATCGCTACGGCCCCGTTTGTTTTTCTCTTTAGAGAGGTGAATCACTGCCACAATTCTGACCAGCTTTCAAGCCAAAACGCCTCATTTTGAGACGTTTTGGCTTGAAAGCTGCCACAATTCTGACAAGTCAGAATTGTGACAGGGATTCACCTCTCAAAAGAAAGAAACAAATGGGGCCTACGTTTTTTATAGAGACGATTTTGGGAAAAAGCTGTTAAAAAACTGACATTTTGGCAGCTTTCCCTCTCTTTTTCCCTTCCAAAAACCGGAACCAAACAGAACTTTAGCTCCAGCTGTCAGTAAAAGAGCTGTCAACTCAATTTGAGACGTTTTGGCTTGAAAGCTGCCACAATTCTGACAAGTCAGAATTGTGACAGGGATTCACCTCTCAAAAGAAAGAAACAAATGGGGCCTACGTTTTTTATAGAGACGATTTTGGGAAAAAGCTGTTAAAAAACTGACATTTTGGCAGCTTTCCCTCTCTTTTTCCCTTCCAAAAACCGGAACCAAACAGAACTTTAGCTCCAGCTGTCAGTAAAAGAGCTGTCAACGTGGACACAACAGAGAACGGCTCCAAAATTCGACGCTTTAGTTAACCAGAGCGCTTCATCAATTAATACAGAGGAGAGAGAAAGAGAAGAGAGAGAGAGAGAGAGCTTAAGTTGGCAGGTGGAGCTCGAGCAGAGCTGATGCGTGGAAACGGTGACGTCGCGTTCGAAGCTCGAGGGGAACAAAAACCCCAACACGCCATCGATGATCGATCTCCTCTTCTCGCCGTTCGATCGGTTTCGAGATCGTACAGGTTCTGTTCTTCGACCTGCATGCATTGGTGCATTTCCCTTCTGGGTCTCTAGGGTTTGGTTTTGGTGAGGAGCGATGAAGGCGCCGGCGGAGGCCTCGAAGCTTCTCTACGTCGTTGTGGTTGACGGTGACGATGGTGATGGCGAGAAGAGAGAGCGTGGTTCGTTTCGGTACACGCGCTCGGTGCTCCAGAGCACGCTCCAGCTCATGGGCTGCAAGGCTCGCCACGCCTTCAAGGTCTCTCTCTCTCTCTCTCTCTCTCTAGGGTCTTGCGTGAAAAGTTACCGTATTTTTTGTTCTAGGGTTACTTGCATAGTCTCCATGAACTATGCTTTACTAGTACGGTCTCAGGTATTAAATATGCATCCAAATGATATCAATTATTGGATTATTGAACTTCGTGATTTGTGCACTGATCTGAGGGCTGAAATTCCATGAACGTAAACAGTTTGAAAATTTGACATAGGATTATACTTATTGTAGTTGTGTCCATTTACTGATTACGATTGATACATGTGTACAGCTTTGATAGAATTTGATAGGGTTCGTTAAGTAGTAGAACTACGCCAAAGTCGAATATAGAGCAGAGAATCTATGGATGGGGTAAGCAGAAATATTTACAGATATAAAATGATTAGAAGGAGAACTTATGAGATTACTAAGTAGGTCATGTGATAGAAAAGACGCTCAAAATAATAAATCTCTTTAATAAGAGCCAACATTGATCATCAAAATTAACCTCAAATATTCATTAATAGTTTCGACTATCTGCTCGACCGATACATATGTTCGAATAAGTGGATATGGGCCGGATACAGATATTTAATAGCCCCATTCTTTCCTATCGAATACGACTAGGGATATATCCATAGATATATGTTTTCATCTATGGTCGTGATACATACAAAAATGTATAAATTTGCCTTGGCTTTAGCAACGGATTTTATCAATTTGATGAAATTAATTGTTTTAATAGATGTTTTTTATTAAAAAAAAACTAAATTTCCAATTCCCCCCTTCTCAGATGAGCAGAAGGGTATTTGAAGTGATAAAGACTGAAATGTCCGGGGTTAATGCTTTACCTGACAACAAGACGAGGTCAGGCGATTTGGGAAGGCCTCTTCATGGTAAGCTAGATGAATGGAGCCGAGATGGGGAGGATTACCATATTGGCCTGAATAAAGAGAATGTGGAGGAAAGCAACACAATACCGTTTGAGTTGTATAAGAGGCAGACAACCGTAGTTGTTCCAAGAGAGGTCTTCTTGAAGGTTACTTGTGATGCTCTTTCATTGTATAAGTATGTTGGGCCCAATCAAAGGGCTGACCTCATTTTGGCTTGCAGGTATAATTTATCTTTACTACCATCTTATACTGATTTAGTCCATGATTTAACCTGGGAATGTTAATTGCTCCTGTTGATTCATCGCTACCATGCCCATGTGTACTTCATGTCTTTGTTCAACGAATTCGTGATTTTTTTTTTCTGATTTTGGAATTGGAAGTGGTTTGGGATGGATGCTGACATTCATGACCAAAGCAGCTGTTATAGCTTCTTAACAAGGTTAATGTTGATTCCAGTAGGATCGCATGATTCTCTTGTTACTATATGCAAAGTAATTTGAATGGTCTCTGTCAAAATTTAAACACAGAGAAATACCAACATAAGTTTTGTTTGTCTACTTTGTATTGTGTTTCTGTTCCTGGAGTTCTGTTTTAGTTTATTTGATGCATGTTATTAACAATGTGATTTCTGTTTCTACCCTTAGATCCTAATACTGTGCCAACATACTGATAAAGAATTATTTTTATTGATCTAGAGGCTACTTCAAGCCTTCGTGATAGTGCTCTGCTGTTTCAAGTGAGCCAATTTTCCATTGTGCCTTCAACCACATAATTAGTCATGCATACGACCATATGCCTATTATGGAAAAAGTTAGAGAACATCATTTTTTTTTCATTCAATTGCCTGACTAATTTAGTGTTGGTGGAAGCGTGATAAGCATTTTCTATAGGGGATAAAGAAAAACTGTGCACTTCGCCTAAGCACTTTACCGTGTGTTTTGCATGTATTCATTGTTTATGATCCACTGGATTATATTAGACTATCTGTATTCTCACATGCCGGCCACGAAATACATCCGCAGAAAGTATTTGCACCTCTCCTTTGAGATAATTTCTAATGCAGAGGATCTAGCAATATCGATGTATTCCTTGGTCGAGTCACTTTGATTCTGACTCAAATGTAGGTATCACAATCTCATTAATTGCATCTTTAGTATGTCAATCTTTATGTAACTATATTGGTGTTTGTTTAAAACTTTATTTCTGCTACTCAACTTTTAGCTAGTCGCCATGCAAGTAACTTGATGGATGTTATATTTGGATGCTAAAGAGCTGATATTTCTATTAGCTTAGAATTGTAATTTGACCCAATAGGGTCCAGCCGAGTTGGTAAGCTATCTATGAGTAGTACACCAAGATCTTAGGTTCGACTCTCTAGGGGAGCACCACAGGAAATTAATTTTCTGGAATACTTGAGGCCATGCGTTAAGGGTGCCCTTAGCCACACCCAGAGGTTTGAAACAACCCATGGTCTGAAGGATTGTTGAGAAGTTCCCTCGTCAAACCAAAAAAACAGAATTAAATTATATTTTGGTGTTGCTGTTATGTTACCTTAAAATTTCTCATTATACTTTCTCAATATTCCAGAATTCGAGAAAGGAAGGAATCTGTGACAGTTCTTTTATGTGGTACCAGCGGGTGTGGAAAATCTACTTTGTCCTCTCTGTTGGTAAGTTATTCCTGTGTTTCTCTTTCGTAAACCTGTGCTATATATTTTCTCAAAAAAAAAAAAAAACTTGTGCTATACATTGTAATTTTGTATATAAGAATGTTTCATAAGTAATATGGTTTGTTGGATTTCGCCTTCAAAGTCCAAGGTACACACTTCGTCATCATCATCACACACTTACATGTACTTAAAAAGCATTTTTAGGAAGTATTTTGCATGTAGTGTATATGTGTATTAAAGCATGTACTACATGATTTTATCCTTTTTGGTTGAATATATCCAAACAGGGAAGTAGATTAGGGGTGACAACTGTGATATCAACCGATTCAATACGCCACATGATGAGAAGTTTCGCAGATGAAAAACAAAACCCTCTCCTTTGGGCTTCAACATACCATGCAGGAGAATGCTTAGATCCTGTGGCGGTAGCAGAAGCAAAGGCTAAACGACAAGCAAAGAAACTTGCTGGTGTTCCTCATCCAATCATCACAGAAGATCTTTCCGCTGGATCTTCGAATGAAAAATCAGGTGTCCAACGCCTACAACAAGTCCCAGCAACGGAGTTAATTAGCAAAAAGCAAATGGCTATCGAGGGATTTAAAGCACAGAGCGAGATGGTCATTGACAGCCTTGACAGGTTGATTACTGCATGGGAAGATAGAAAAGAATCCGCTGTTGTCGAGGGTGTCCACCTAAGCCTTAATTTTGTGGTGCGTAACTTATTAATATTCACTGTGATATTAAATTCTCATACATATTCACTGTGTGTCCGGTTAAAAAAATTTCAGTTCTTTTCTAAGAAGGATAAATGAGTCAAGGTTTTGGTATAAAATTTTCTTTGTTTCTGCTCTAGCCAATTTCGAGGAATTTGTATGCACATTGCTGATTTCTTCTGTTGCATTTTTCCTAGATGGGTCTCATGAAGAAGCATCCTTCAATAATACCATTTATGATTTACATCGCAAACGAGGAGAAACACAAGGAAAGATTCACAGTGCGCGCAAAATACATGACACTAGACCCATCAAAAAATAAATACATCAAATACATCCGAAACATCAGAACAATTCAAGAGTACCTATCAAACAGAGCCGACAAGCATCTAGTGCCCAAAATCAACAACACAAATGTTGATCGAAGTGTGGCAGCTATTCACGCCACAGTATTCAGCTGCCTAAGGAGACGAGAGGCAGGTGAACACTTGTATGATTCAGCCACAAATACAGTACCCATCGTACACGAAGAGTATAGAAATCAGTGCGCTGCAAATTCTCTGAGCTCGAAGGGGATGTTTCAGTTGATTCAGAGGAAAGGGTCTTCGAGGCATTTTATGGCTCTTCTTAATACAGATGGCTCTGTTGCTAAAGCTTGGCCTGTTGAGTCTAATGATGGCAACAGTAGGTCAATATCTCAAGGACCAGTGTATGGCCCATTACAAATTGCTAAGGCAGAATCAGTAAACCTTCAGTTTGGTAATTTTGGGATCAGTGCTTGGCCCGATGATGCATGTGGTACTAGTCGTGCTGGAAGTCACACTGAAAGTGTTGATGAATCGAGGGCTGATGGTATGGATTCTGGAAGTAGATACTTTTCCTCTTGTTGCAGTTCTCCGAGGTTTTCGGATGTACCTGCCAAGGAAGTAAGTCTCACCGCCTTCATCAAAATTATTGTTATCTTGGACGTTGATGCTCACTATCCAAAACTAGAGCTTGCAGTTCTTTGGGTTAATTGCCGATAGACCTCCTGTACTATCACTCAATTGCAGATAGGCCCCATGTAGTTCTATTGTTGCGGTCAGACCCATTGTACTATCGCCTGGTTGCGGATAGACCTGCTGCCTGAACTTTTCTTAGACTCATTTACCCTCACGAGGTCTATTTGTCAAAAAATATGTTTTTAGAGGGTAAAAGAGTCAAAAAATTCTACTTCAGAAGCCTATCTGCAAAATAGAACTACAAGGGCCTATCTGCAATTGGGTGATAGACTCATAGTGCAGGGGATCTATTAGCAATTGACCATTTATTTTTTGGTGACATGCCCACATTGTTTGCTCGACAGACTTCCTCTTATGTGTATACATGTGCACGAATCGTAGTTTATTCCATCTACTTCCTTGAGTGTGCATTTAGTTTGAAATAAATATTGTTCTATTTTCCCAATGGGATTAGCTCCTCTTTTATTTGTATGATAAATGGATTGAGGAGCCACGCATGAATATGCTGGTTCTCATGTCTGTCACGAGCCTAACGGTCATTATTTTCTGTGCCGACGCGCATTTTATGTGACCTCTTGATTTGGATTTGTCGTTTAGAAAAGCTGTGTTTGTTTTCTCAACCATTCTTTTGATTTGTCTTTTGCAGCTTCATGTCCACCCTAACCCCC